CATCCTGTGACACGGGCTCATTAATTATCCCCGGCGAGGGCTGTGCGAAGAGAGCCTCTAACGGGGAGCGGGGGAGCGGGGTCTGCGGAGGAAGGGACGGTGACGTCCCAGTGAGGCTGGCCAGACCGGAGCAGCCCAGATATGGCTGAGGCGGTGGGTGCTGGAGGTCCCCGAGCCAGGGTTGAGCAGTCACTGCGGGCCAGGCGCCACCCAGGCCGAGGTCAGAAGATTGAAGAGGACCCAGAAATCCCGCCTCACGGGGGAGGGGCGGGAGGGAACGGAATGGAGTCGACGCAGCACTTGCACGCCCGGGCAGGACCCCGTGTCACACGCGTGAGCGGTAATTACAGTGACGGTGTGACCCCCAGGGAGGCAAGGTCAGTGGGGGTCCTGGCCGCCTGTGGTGACGTGGAGGCATCAGGTGTGCCCAGGAGTGATGCCGTCTGTGGCTGCTTCTGGGACAGGTGGCCGGGGGGTGGGCAGGCTCTGCTGGTTGGGGCAGTGGGTTTCCTCATGGGCAGGGCAGAAGCCGTAGGGGCTCAGGGCTCCCCAGGAGGGGCTGTACCACCTGTGGTGGAGGACAAGGTCACAGGGAGCCATGGGGTCGGGCAGGTGAGCGGTGCGGCCTCTCGGCCGCTCTGGCGAAAGCACCCTGGCCAGGGTGGGCTCTGGCTCATAGTCCTCCCTGCCCCACCTGTGACGGGAGACAGCACCGCCTGTCTCTGCGGAGCAGGTCTGGTAGCTCACAGAGGTGCCTGCACTCGGCTATTAGGCTACAGTAACTTAATTGCTTGTTAATTGGGTAATTAGTACTTTCTTTTGTTTTAAAGCCTAAACACTCATAAAAAGTGAATTAGTTGAGTAAACAAGAGTGTGGTTTTCAGGACCCGCATCTAGTTTGTGCATCATTAATCAGGTTCGATTGTGGTGGTGGCCACAGGCCCTTCGGGGGTTGTGATCCGGGGCCACCGCGAGGGGGTTGCTGGCGTGGGGCCTGACTGCCTGGGCCGCGTTAAGCCCTCGGTGGGCTCCCAGCTGCTCTGCCTCAGTTTCCCCATTTCTAAGCAGGTGGGTCTATGGTGGAGACTGAGTGAAGTGTGTAGAAGCCACCCCAGTGAACAAAGGCAGCCTCGGCCCCACCCCTCATGGTGCCCCATCAGCAGAATGTCGGGGGATTCCCTTCTCCTGCACCCCTCCTTCCAGCCCTCAGTGCAGGCTGCTCCGGGCCCTGGCCATCCACTCAGTCGCTGGGTTGGTGCATGTCCTGCCTCCCGATGGTGCCTCCGCTCAGAGAGGAGGGCGAGCACCTAGACCCTTACGGATGGAGCAGGCGGCACCCGCTGCATCTCCCAAGGTGACTCCAGGAGCAGAGAGACCCCCGTGGGGTCACAGGAGGGTGCTGTCGGCACGGCCTGTGCTCCTGGGCCATATGCCTAGGGACGCGTGGCCCTGTGGCAGGTCACCGGAGTGTGCACATACACTGGGACACTTGGCAGGACACTCTGGGGTGGAGTGCCCATCGGGCGGGGTGCCCAGGGGCTCACGTGTGAGAGGCCTCAGCACACCTCCGCATGTCGGATGCTCACGCACACGGCGCCCACGAGCCACAAGAACACACCCAGCAAATGCTGCCCACACCGAGGGCGCGTGCGCCTGGGGTCCTGGGCGTCCCCAGGTTCACGGAACACGCGTGGCACACTGAGGGCCACGTGGGCAGGGCCCAGAGCGGGCATCAGCACCGCGCCGCCCGCAGCCCCGGCCTCCCTGCCCGCCCTCCGCCGGGCTGAGCGGGATGCCTGTCGCCTGTGCGCTGACCGGCCGGCTCCTGCCTGCGCGTTCGCCCCCTGCTGCTCAGGCCTCTGCAGGCCACAGTGTCCCAGGCTGGTGAGGAGGCCCAACTGTGTGCCGCCCCTCAGCCCTCTCTGACCCCTTGAGTGAGGCGGGGTCAACCGGAGTGGGGGGCTGGGAACAGGCAGGGCCGGGCCCACGCTGGCCCCTGGGATAGCCTCCTGGCCCCTCTGTGCCCGCTGCACCTCCCCACCCCCCACAGCATCCCTGGTCCAGGCCCGGCGGCTGGAATGTCTGACGGGCTGAGGCTCAGTGGCGAGGCCTCCCAGCCCATGAATTTTTCATGCCTTTGTCTGAGCGATGGGGGACAGGCGGCCTTCTTCTGAGCTCTGCTACAAAGCCATAATTAACGTTCGCTCTGAGGGAGTAAAAGTCACATTTCCATCGCTGCTGGTGGCTGTCGGTAGGGTCTCCCGGTCGTGGGCGGTGAGCGCAGCCCCCACCCCTAGCGAGCAGCCGCCCAGGTTTCTGGGAGAGGCCTGCGGTGGAGGCCGAGTTCCGCAGACCTCCTGGGCAGGCGGGGCACGGTGCAGGGAGAGGTCTGCGCCCGGGCCTGGGGGGCTCAGCTGCCTCCGAGGGCCGGTCAGGTGATGTGAGGGAAGGGGCCGGGCAGATGGGGACACTGGTGGTGATGAGGAAGATGACGAAGGTGGTAAAGTGAGACGGAGACGAAGGTGAGGGTCGTGGGGACAGTGACGGTGACGCGATGGCGCTGACGTTGAAGGCGGCAGCGGCGAAGATCGTGGTAGTGACGGCGCCAGTGATGCCGGTGACAGCGGCTCAGGCTCACGGAGCCCTGGCCGCCAGCCCGCTGCGTTCTGAGCGCTCCGCATACGCTGACCTCACCGCAGATGGGGCAGCTGGGGCTCAGAGAGATGAAAGCAGCAGGGGCGGGATGGGACCCCATGGTTCCCCGGAACCCCGGTCTCAGCGCTCAGGCCTGGGGGTGTCGGGAGAGGCAGGGGTAGGGGTGCAGCAGAGCCCGTGGCGAGTGCTGCCAGCACCAGCAGAGCCTATATGTGGGCATGCGGCTCCCCGTTTTTAATAAGAGGCAGGATTGGGCACTCATGAGAAATCTCCAGGTTTTCGAAGGTTGACTGTGACCCTCTGGTCTGACTGGCAGAGAAACCGCCGTGCACAGGGCGTCGTCCTGACTCGTTTCCTGTGAGGCCAGGAGGGGCTTGTAAGCCAGTCGAGGGGCGTGCTGTGTGCTGGGGGGAAGCGTTGGTGTCGGGCCTTGTCAGGGCCAAAGAGGGCTCGCCGTCTGGCCTCGGCTCTCAGGGTCACGGAGGACAGCAGGGCTCCATGGCCGGAGACGCCACCCTGAAACTCGCAGGCTCGGGTGTGCGACCGCTGCAGAGAGGAGCCCCTCGTTCTCGGCTTGTTGGAAGATGATGATGATGATGTTGGTGGAGGTGACAGTGATGGTGACGGTGACGATGGTGACGGTGGTGGTGAAGACACAGGCACGCCGCATCATGCTGAGCACACCCCAGCACGGGCCTAGTCTTTGCGTGAACTCACTCACGTAAGCCAGGTGACCGCCCTGTGGGGAAGCCGTTTTCTGGCTTACGGAGGCGTAAACCGAGGCACAGAGAGTTCAGGGCGCCCGCCTCGCCCCCACAGCACCCGCCTCGCCCCCACAGCACCCGCCTCGCCCCCACAGCACGCACAGAGCCAGAGCAGGCGTTCGCTCGGGAGCCCGCGGTGGCCTCTCCGCTATACCCAGCACCTCCCCTGGGGCCTGGGGTCGCCGTCTCCTCCGGACCCCTGCCCGGCCCCGCCCACACGAGCGCTCTCCCCAGGGCCGCCCAGCCCCGTCTGACCCCGCGAAGGTGGCAGCTCCCGCGAGACAGACGTGGCCTTTCCTGGCCTTTCTCCGATCAGCTGCCTCATTCAATTCCGCCTCGACGGCAGTTAAACGTCGATTCAGCGGGACTTAGTAACGTGAATCCGTTCACGACGCGGCCTGCGCTGGCTGATGACGGTGCGCCGTTCGGTTAATTATAGGGTCCAGTGCTCCCTGGGAAGCCCCCTCACCCCCTTCTTGCCGTCTGAGAGCTGCGGGGAGACCTGGGAAGCTGGGCCGCGGTGGCTCCCGTACACCCTGCCTGATGGCAGTGCCATGCCCCACTCCGGGACCCGAGCCGCTAATGAAGCAGGAAGAGCCCTTTTGGGGGTCTGCGGTCTGCGGCAGCTCCGTGGTCAGGGGTTCCTGACTTCCCGCAGGCTCTGCCTCCAGGCCCCTGGCCCACAGGTCACGTCCGGGCACAGGGCAGCCCTGACTCCCTCTCCCAGAATGCCCAGCCCCAAGGCCGAGTTCAGTGCAAGTTCGCGGACCATGATGCTTTCTGTGTCCCATGCATTGGGGCCAAGCGCCTCTCCCCACCCCACTGGAGCCGGTGAGAGAGACTGATCTGGCCTCTTAAAATGACTGTGTGGCCAGGAGATGGTCCACATGTCCCTCGGCCATGGGTGACAATGCCCACTGGCCTGGGATGATCAAGTGCAGGCCACCATGAGAGCCGCACCCTGCACGTGGGTCCAGCATGCCCGTGTGTTCCAGGCAGGGACGTGGCTCAAACACGTCAGCTGTGGCTGCTGGAAGGGACCCCTTTGTATTCTTTTGGGTGGGATCGGGTGGTGTCTAGCAGTCTTTCTTTCTGAAGCTCTGTTTACTGAAGATGAAACATGAAAGTCCGTTTATACCTTGTCACAGTCCTAGCGGAACCGACGTGCTGAGACTTTTCTACTGTGTGTGTGGGGCGGGCACACCAGGCGCCCTCCCTGCTGGCCCCGGCTGACTCCACCCCTCATCTTCCCCAGGAGTCCTGACCTCCTGCCTCTCCCCCTCCCTGCCACCCCAAGGCTGGCCCCGGAGCGTGGAGGGGCGCCAGGGCTCGCAGGCTGCGTCTGCTCTAGGCGGGTGCACCTGCCTGCAGGGTGTGCCCCTCGGTCTCGCTTCTGCCTTCCCGGCCCCACAGATACCCGGCTTCGATGGCGCTCTGACCCCGGGCGCCCCATGTAGCCGAGGACATCCCCGTCCCAGGCCCAGCCTCCCACACTCCTTACCCTGGCCCCAGTGATGCCCGCCTGGCCTGTTGTGGGGTACTGTGGGGCACTGACTCACCCCCTCTCTCTCTCCCCCACAGTGTGACAGCGAGAGCGACGGGGACGACAAGGTAAGCCCCCTTCCCCGTCACCCTCCCGAGCTCCCCCAGCAGGTGCGTCCACAGACCCGGCAGAAAGGTTGTGGTCTTGTGGGGGCCCCAGGCTCCCCAGGACCCCACGGCAAGGCTGCAGCTCCTGGCTCACAAGTGGCTGTCTGCACGGGGCTCCCTGGGAGGGGGTGCCGTGGGCAGGGCAGGGGGCTGTGCCCCACTGGGCCAAGCGCAGCCCGTTTCCAGGCCGGGATCGGGCGTGGCACCAGAATCAGACTTCCTACCGCGACAGAGCGTCCGCCTTGCGTTCACCGTTGCTTTCGGGGACAGTGAGGGTTCTGCCAACTGGACGTTTAGCGCAGGACTAGCCCGGACCCTGCCTGCAGCTTCTCGGCCTCCCGGCTTTGGCCTTGGGCTCCAAGGGTCCTCGGGTCCTGGCCACCCGTGGGGAGGCTGACCAGAGCTCACAGCTGGGCGGGCAGCTGTTTGTGGAGCGCCCCGAGTGCTGGGGTCCGTGCTGTGGGGCACAGCGGGGTGGAGGGCGCCACTGGGACCCAGGAAGCAGCAGCGAGTGAGACTTGAGGGGCACAGGTGCCAGCTTGTCCCAAAGCCCCGATGCGGCCGCGGAGACTGAGGCACAGAGGGAGCGGGGAACCGGCTGAGGTCACACAGCGGGACCTGGCGGGCTGGGCGCACGGTCTTTGGCAAGCGAGTGAACGGGGTGGTGAGGCCGGCAGGGCTGGGATCCCATGTCCTCGTGGGTGGGCCCTCCGGGGAGGGCAGGCGCCAAGAAGGACGCGCACCTGGGCTGCCGGGAAGGGGGTACGAGGGTGTTTGCGAGGGCAGATGGGAGGCCCCTGAGCCCTGGCTGGCTTGAGGTGAGCATCTGCAGAGTGAGGTTCCGTCGAGAGGTCTGGGGCGAGCATCTGCAAAGTGAGGTTCCGTCGAGGCTCTGGGTCCCCCCTCCCTGGTGGCCTGGCCTGCATCCGGCAGGAGCTGCCCCAGCCATCGGCAGACGGGTGGGCGGCCCTCTCGGGCTCCTCGGTGGATAAGCACGTGTGGAAAGGGCTAGAAGGCCGCCTGGCAGGGTGAGCAGGTCAGGACAGGCCCGGGGAGACACCTGGGGTCCAGATGATCAGCCGTGGGGGTGGCGAGCGGCCGAGAGCCAGCGTTGAGTCACAGGGGCCTAGGAGGGGTTGGACGAGCGGGTAAGGCTGGTGATACCACGGGGTGTGTCCTCCGGGGCGGTCAGCCCGGAAGCTTGAGTGGGGTCATCGTCCTGGTCTCGCCATCCTGGGAAGGTGGCCAGAGGCAGCTGGGAGGTGACAGTTTCGTCTGCGGTCCTGGGTGGCCTTCCCTCAGCCATCCTTTGGGTGCACAGAGCTTCGGGGCCTGAGGGGCACCTATGCCGGCCCCCACTGCCTGCAGCACCTTGGGTTTGGGGACAGGCCTGTGTTTCCGCAGAGCTGTCACCCTCTGCGTCTTTAATGAATTAGGCAAAGGCACCTGGGAGATGCTGCACCGGCTGAGCCTTCAGCGCCCCCTTAATGCAAAACCGGTTTGCAGGCAGCGCTCTCTGAAGCCGGGCACTGCCCTCAGGGGCATGGGGAGTCTGAGGCCCTGTGGCTGCTCCATCCAGCCCCTCGGCCTGCCTGCTCCCCCCCAGGCTCGGTCTGGCCCCTGGCTCAGTGCTGGCCCTGGTGAGCTTTTCCGTCCACCCCTGGGTCCAACAGGACCCAGCCCCTCACAGCAGCTGTGACTGTGTGCACTGAGACGCAAGGTCACTTCTGCTTCGACACCCCGGCCCAGCGGTGGCAGGGTGTGACCAAGGGCTAACGGGACGCTATGGCTCGGCCTCCTCCATGCTCACATCCACCCAGGAACCCGAGGGCCAGGCCTGAGCGGTACCCAAGGGCCTGCTGGTCCAGGCTGGTGGGGGGACGGCGGGAGCTCGCTCTGGACGGGCCCTGGGTGGCATCTGGAGCTGGGGGCTCTTGCCTTTCCGGTGATCCCCTCTGCGCCCGAGGGGAAAGCTTGCTCTGGGGCGTTAGCAGGAAGCCCAGTTCTGAGTCCTGGAGCCCAATGCCCAGGGGTTGGCTGCAGTCTGTTGGGCTGATTCCTCTGCTGGCCCAGACTCCCTTGGGGCTTCTGTCTGCCCCTTGGTGCTCATTCTGGGGAGGAAGGGCGGATGCTGGCCAAGGACAGAGCCCGGCTTCCCCACAGCTGTGTGTCCAGCCATCCAGGGCCACCGTGGGCACCGTGAGCGGTCTGTACAGGTGGCCTGGGGACACGCCTGGCCCGGCGTGTGATGGGCCTGGCTCCAGAAGGCTGGAGGACACCTGTAGCCGTGCACCCTGGAGGGCTGGTGCCAGCCCTCCGCTGCGTGGGCTGTTAATTGAGACGCTGCGTTTGCCGCTGTGACAAACTGGAACCAACCGTGAGTGCCTTAAAGGGGTCGCGCTTCTCACCCTGGAAGCCGCTGTGGGCCCCGCCCTCGGCCGTCAAGCTCTCGTCTGCTCGGCTGCTTGGCGCGCGGCTCCCGCCCTCAGGCCACCCTGCAGCACCAGCCTCTCGTCTGCACCCCACGTCCCCCGCGCCTTCAGTCTACAACACCTCCTGCGTGGCGAGGTAGGGCCGATGCTGGGACAAAGTGTCCGGGGGCTGGAGCCGAGGGGCAGGGAAGAGGGGACGAGCCCAGCAGGGCCACGCTTCGTAAGTCACAGCGAGAACCTCAGGTTCTGTTCAAGTGCTTTGGGGTGCCACCCCGGGGCCCCCGCCACACGGCCTCGCCCTGGCACCGCTCCCCAGCTCAGCCCTGGGGCGCTGACCATGCTGTGGGTCCCCGCTGTGGTCTGGCCACGGCCAGGCCCCCCCCCGTTCCTTGCACGTGATCAGTCCCGAGTTAGAGGTTGTGACCACCAAGATGCTGGGTGGCGAGTCGGACCCGACGTCATCTTCCTTCGCCGAGCTCAGCTTCCGGGCGCCAAGTGACATTCTCTGGGCCCATCCAGCAGGCGTGGGTCAGAGGGTCCTTGGACACTTGCCCAGGGCTCGGCCAAAGTCATCGCCCCCTATCTCAGTCAGACCGACCTGCCAGCAGATGGGGACCCCTTGGGGGGCAGAGAGAAGGGCCTCTGCCCTCTGTAGAGCCCCAACTTCCTTTCTGTGGGGCACCCGTTCTGGGGGGCTGGTCAGTGGACGGAGGCCAGTGCCTCCACTGGATTCCCAGGATGGCCAGTGCCCTGACGGTGTGACAGGGATGCAGGAGGGGGAGAAGACGGGGTTCACCCGCAGCACCCACAGCAGCGCCTCCCCAACCCTCACTCGGCCCCAGGCCCCTGGACTCGTGCTGTGCACGTGGTTGGAATGAGATGGGCGTGTCCCCTCCCTGACGCACAGGGGCCCGGAAGCGGCCGGACAGAAGACATCCGGGCTGCTCTGCGAGGGGCGGCTGGACGTGCGGCTCGGGCATTGAGCACGCAGCGACCGTCCAGCCGGCCGGCTTGGCACTGTGGGGCACAAGGAGAGAACCCAGGTGGCTGCGCCCGAGGCCTCTGCCCCCAGGCCGGGCAGCAGGGGACCCGGTGCCTCTTCTGGCCAGCCGGCCTCTCCCAAACCGTCCAGGCCTGAGGTCAGCGGCAGCCTCACCCCTCAATGGGCCTCTGCTCCCGGAAGCCCCTGCCGGTCCACTGCCCCCAGCCCACCGGCCTTGGCCTCCGCCTCTGGCACAAGGCGCAGACATACTGGGGACATTCTGCCTCCGAGACAGGTAGACGGGGTCCAGCGAGGCCCCTCAGCAGCAGCAGCTCCGAGGCCGTGTGCAGACAGACAGACAGGAACCCTCTCCACCGCCTCCCCTGCGAGTGCCCGTCCACCCTCTGGATGGAGCAGGCCCTGCCCTGGCCGGCTGCTGGCAGGGAGGACGGCCGTGCAGCCAGATGGCCCTCCGCAAGGCTGTGGTTGGCGTCTAACTGCTTTTTTATTGGAAAAATACGGGGTGAAAACTGTGTGGGCTCATTATGCAGCCTGCTGGTTGGACAGGCTGTCGTCTGCCCACGTGGCCGGCCAGGAGGCCGACACTCCTCCCTGCGGCCCGTGCCCCCTTTCAGGGATGTCTGTCTGTCTGTCTGGTCCGTCTGCCAGACCCGTGGCCGGGATGTGTCCCAGCTCTGGGCCTTGGCCGGTTCCCGGGCAGCAGGAACAGCCTGGGCCACGAAGGGATGGACAGGCGGGTCCCTGCGGGCAGCAGGACAGCACAGACCCAGCCTGCAGCCCGGCCTCCCCCACTGAGCCTCAGTTTCCTCTCTGCTAAGTGGGGTCTCCGTGGAGCCTGCACCCTGGGGTGGGGGTGAGTGCCTTGCAGCTGGTGTGAGCACCTGGCCCCTAGGAGCCTGTCGGCGGCTCCCCAAGATGAGCCAAGCTGGGGTCCACCTCCCCCAAGGGCCCTGGGCCACTGCAGGAGCTGTCAGGGGACGGGCACAGCAGCCACACCCTTTCCCCGCATGGCGCACACTGTGGCACACATGCCACACGTGCTCACTCGCTTACACACGCCTGTCCACATGCTTACACAGCCTGCTTGCACACTTACACACGCCTGCTCGCACACTTGCACAGCCTGCTCACACGCTTACACACACCTGCTCGCACACCTGCTCGCACACTTACACACACCTGCTCACACACTTACACACACCTGCTCGCACGCTCACACACACCTGCTCGCACACTTACACAGCCTGCTCACACGCTTATACACGCCTGCTCGCACACTTACACACACCTGCTCGCACGCTTACACACACCTGCTCACACACCTGCTCACGCACTTACACACGCCTGCTTGCACTTATGCCTACTCGCACACTTACACACACCTGCTCACACACTTACCCACACACTATAGATGTCTGCCCACATGTTTACACAGATGTCCACACTCTTACACACGCCTGCCCCTAGAAAGCCCCGTGGGGCACATGGCTCATGCTTTGGACACTGAGTGAGGACGTGCCACTCGG